CGCAATTAATAATTAATTTTAAATTAAATTTGAAATTATATTACACATATTTAGTTAACAAACTTAATTAAAATTTATAATCTTAGCATATTAAGCAAATCTTAAATGAAGTTCGAACTCAACGACGTGCATTATGCATTGCAAAACTTTAATAGCTAGTCGTTTCAATCTCGGTTAAATCAATGGTTACTTAACTATTGTTCTTAACTACTGTTTAATAATTTTCAATTATCTTATTGCGACTATTCATAATATTTTCACACTGATTAATTAACTGATGATTAACAAACATTATATAACAGTTATACCAGTTACTTTTTCTTAATAGTTAGTAATATTGTTAAAATTAGATTTTGAACTTTGAATTGAGATTTTTATTTCGCTTATTAGTATTTGCTACTTTCGATGAGTAATGCATTTATTTTTATTGATTTACTATGAATTTTATATTATACCATATGCGATTTGATATTTATTCTGAATTTATGGATTCACATTGTTGTTGTTTATTTCGATTTGGTAACCGGATTACGACACTCAATGTGATCTGAATCACATTAAATATAAATATCCGCATATCTGACAGTAGTGATGGAAGGTGCCTTAAGCAAAGACAGAGTATTGATCTAATGCATATAGATCTTATTGAAATGATGTATATAAATTGCTAAGCTCTCGTTACGGAAATCTCCATGTAACACAATGAAGTTTCAACATACTTTTAAGATCCTTAGCATTTGAAATTAGTATGACTAAACGCATATTAGTATATTTATTTATTATGGCATCAAAGCGTGCAAATTTAGTTGACCGAATGCAATATACGGTTAGCTCTTAAGATAGCCAACGATTAAAGTTAAACGACAATAAAAACACCAGACACTAATTTGTCCTTTGTTGATGTTAACATTTAAGATTTCACTTAATACATTTAAATTTTATATAAATCAAATATATCTAAGTTTTTAATTTGTTTTTAACTGATTACATGTTAAACAATAACAATTAATATTCTTATCTTAATTAGTAATTGCTTTAGGTTAGTTAGTACATATATCTAATGCGTACACTGTTTTTACATATATGAATCACATATCATATCATATAATCATATATAATTGTTTATATTATATTGCGACAACAGCATAAGAATTGGTTACACTACAGTCAGGATTATCGCAAATGTTTTGTGATTTGGAAACTGTGTATTACGAGTAAAAAGCGTTTTCAAAAAATACATATGTCTTTTTTCCTTAATTTTTTAGTATAGTTACTTGAGCAAGAGTTAGTTCAGGCATAAAAATTGAGTATATATATATATAAATCTTAAGCTTAATATATATTTTCTATATAAAGGGGGGATTTAATACAAACTTATGCGTTACATTTAAAAAAAAAACTGAAGTATTAGTACTACAATTATTATTCAAGCTGTTGAAAGCTTAAAGCATTTCAATGTGTAAGTTCGAATACAATGTGTTTTTCGTTCGAATACAACGAGCTGCTCGAAAATGTTCGAACATCACATTATGTGTCCGAGCATTTTCTATTATATTTATTTCTTTAAAATAAAACAAAACAAAAAATGTATCTAAAGCAATTTTGCTATTTAAGCAGCTCGTACATTTTTAAATGTTTAGAAAATTTCTGAACATTTAAAGTTTTTGATTTAAATATTCGTATTCGAGTATGCTTGAATTGCTCGAATATCATAATGCTTGAAATCTTTGAAGCACTAACCAGTATTAATAACTTTTTATAAAGGCATAATAATATTTAAAAAACAATCCTTACTGAATTAATAACTAATTAACCTATGTATTTAGTTTAATTATAAATACTGTTAATGAACTAATATATAAATTATTACTCAATATTTTACAATATTTTCAAACTTAATAGATTATTAAATATCATAAAACTATTTACAATAATGCAATGTTTGCATCGACATGGGCTAAACTATTCGATGGCACTATAAAGTGTTATAAAAATACATATTTAATAAGATTTTAATATTTGTATATATAAATATGTGTATATAAGTAGTGTGTATATAACATGTATTAGTCTAATTGCTTTACGATTTTATTACATTGCTATAATTATTATTGTTTTATATTTTTATAATTTATATGTATATTAGTTGCTTATTATTTTTGTTTTTTATTGTGTCGAAATGTATAAGTAGTTTAAAGTGAGGTACAATAGTAGTTTTAAGAAATATATATACGTCACTTTCCGTATTACCCTGTACATGATTTATATGTATCTATTTAAATATTAATCAGTTTGTTAAAAATTCCTAAAATGTTTTTGTTTTTAATATTGCATTAATTTAGGCACTTTTTAACTTAAATCGAAATTTCTTAAATTCTCAGCAGTTTCAGCACTGCTGTCGCTTCGCTTAGCATCGTATCGAACTTATATTTCGTTTGAAAACTGAATCAATACCTAGAATAGATTTGCGATCGATTGGCTGCTGCTCGTTTTCGTCGCTCAGTCTGTGTTTGTTGATCGGCATTTGTAGACGTATTCGTAACTGGTGCAATTGAAAAGGGCTTTGAGTCAGCAATCTTATTAGTGGATTCCATTTTTTTCTTTTGATCGGACATTTTTGCATTTAGGCGATGAACTTTTTCGGGACTTAATATAGTTAAGCGATTCGAGTTGACTTTAGGGGTTGTAGAGCCAATACTAGTATTTGCGAGAACTTGTCGACTAGTGGTTCGTGTATATATTGGTGCTATTAATTTAAAAAAAAAAAAGATAAATAGAAATACAAAAAATTTGATTTCAATTGAACTGACCTGTGAGGTTATCCTGTTTAGCTGTAAATCTATTTATATCTGTACTTTTAGTCGGGCTCAATGTGCGTCGTGTATTTGTCTTATTATCAACAACATCTTTTGTAGGTGAAGTACAGGAGGGCTTTACATTTTTTCTAAATCCTAAGAGGCGATTACTAACTTTACTTTTATCTTGCGTCCTATCACTTGCAATATCCTTAGCATACGTTAATTTGTTTTTCTTCGCTTGTATTTCGGTAGACTTTATCTCAGGTTCATCAAGCTCTTTCAAATAACTTTTAAATGTTCTTTCGGCTGGCTGTTTAACACGCTTTACAGTTGTTTTCTCTTTCACAACTTCATCATTTGACTTAATGGTCATGGCAGCTAAATTTTCTAGAGATTCTGAATGTGGTGTATAGAGCTCCACAGCTTTTGGAAATTGCTTTCTACCAAAGATAGGTGTTTGATTAACACGTAGCGTTTGCATTGACGAACTTTTGCCCGCATTGACCTCCGCTGCTTCCATGCGTTGAAACATTTTTAAAGCTTGAGGTGGTGTTCTATACACAGCATCTGTAGGACTTACCTTAAAGTATGTTTTCATAGAAGTTTGAGAATTCGTATAATTTTTACGATTAGCTTCATCAATGGTTTCGAATTTGTTTTTACATAGATTTAATTTTGTTCTAATATCATCCAATGCATTTTTATATGATTTCTGCGCAATATTTTTTTGTACTTCATTCATAGCGTTTATAGATTTTGCATCTTCTTCGACGGAATTTATAAAAGTCTGACGGTTCTTTAAACTTTTATTAGCTGGAGATTCAACAATTATATCATCTTCCTCTAATACAGTTTTAACAACTGTTGCCAACGGTTCTATCGGTTTAACATGCTCCACAGCGTTGACTTCATGGTAATTGAGACTTGTATCGCAACTTGAGTCGAAGTCAGAACAATTATTTAAGTCTTTAACATTACTAAGCCTCAGATCACCATCGCGGTGAATATCTAAGAGAAAACCTTTATCACCATAAGGCCGATTCTTTTTACTAACGCCATTCTGTAAGCTATGTTTTACTGCTTCTAATACACGTTCGGTACAATTATTTTCAGGTGTCAAACCACGCTTTTGATTTTCAATTAAACGCTGTCTTCTTCTTGCACGCATGCTATCACGTATTCGTTCACCAGTGGGTGAGAAATCTTTACCTAAGTGTGGCGATTTAGGTATAGCTAATGGCAAATTTTGAGTATTTTCCTTTTCTTCTAATTTAATTGTTTCAACTATCTTGATTTCATTTTCATTGGACGGAATGTTTAGGGGTTTTGGTATATTTTTACCAAGTTCATCTAAATCGTCTCGACTTAGATTTGATTTTGGCGTTAGAAATCCTTCTGGTGTAGAACTTATACTAATACCTGGAAAGTTCTCAATATCATAAAGTAATTCGAGTGGCAAAGACTGATTTAAAGTTGCATGTGTCAATAAACTTTCCAACCATATATCTAATACTTCAAATGACGGTCTGTAAAAAAAGATTGTTGTTATTAAAAATACTGCATATAGTGGTCACGAAAATTGTTATACACACCTTTTATCTGGATTTAAATCACAACATAAGAATGCAATTTTATAAAAGGACTCGGGACACTGAAAACAAAACTTATCCCGAAAAACGTTTTGATTTAAACCAAAGTCCGACGTGCGCGGTAAAAAGTCAGGATC